AATAACAATTGCATACGGAGTCCTGAAGCTCTCCAAGATTAGGGTTTGGTGATGTTAACTAAATTTTGAGTAATAAAATAATAATTAAAGCTCAATTTGAAGAAAAAAAAATAGGGTTTCTGTGGTAAGATCGTCGGTGCTTTAAAAGAAAATTAATTCTGAAAAGGGGAAACTAAAGCACGGTAGAGAAATTTAATTTGGTAAGACCTGAGCACCAAGAACAAAAGGTAAATAACAAATCATACCTTTTTATCCATTAGAAATCAAAATCCATAATTAATCACATAAAAAGGTGAACTTGTAGAGAACAAAAGTTTCTTTAAGTCCTTTCAAAAGTTTTGAAACGGATAATCTCCCATGCAAATATTCATATGTAAAAAACAAATCCCAATAAGAAAACATACATGATATATCTCTCTCTATGAGACTAGACATGTATATAACCACAAGAAGCATCATAAGAATGTATGTGACCATGTCAGTATGGATATATATATATATATAATATACAAAGAGAGAGAGAGAGAGAGAGAGAGAGCTGGAGAGAGCTAAAGAAGAAGAAACAAACAGATATAGCAAAGAGAGATCTTTTTAACGTACCTGTGTCCACTTCGTAGCATCCATGAACTTTGACAAAGAGAAAGGCAGAGAGAGAGAGAGTAAAGAACAAAGAGAGAATGTTTAGGAGAGTGTTTTTTGGACTTTTGCTTCTTCTTCTTTTTTGGGACGATATGGCTCTATGCGTGAGCTTTCACTTTATGGATGATGAAATAAAGCAGCCAAGAGGAAGGAAGAAGAAGAGAAGAAACCTGCAAAACTAAAATTTAATATTTAATATTAAAAAGCAAAAGACGGGTTTGTTGTTTTTGACTAGTGATAATAATGTCTCATGGCCTCCCTCTCTAGTTCTTTTCTGGTCCCTCTTTATGTATTTTCAAAATAATAAAGAGGCTTAATTTTTATATTATCTAATTGGTTGGCTCAATAAAATCAGTGATTATATTCTTTATATGGAGTTCAAATATTCAAGTAAATTCTTTGAGCTTCTCTTTGGATGCCTTTTTATGGGGTATTTAATTTGGATGAGCTAATGAATTTCTGCATAAATCCCAAAATTAACCACTACTTGAATATTGTAGTTTTCAGTTTTACCACTTTTCGACTAATCTGTTGGTCGTTTTTTTTCACTTTTCAGCTTCTCATATCCATTTTACATAATTATATTCTCCCTATGTGGTGGTTAATTAAACTCTCATGTTGAAATCTCAACTTAACCAAAAAAAAATACAATAACTATCTATTGCTACTGTCTGAGATTATGAAAAATATAAAGCTCTCTTTGTTGTGGATTGATTGTAGTTTGTGATAGTATATTTTGTATTTACCGTCAAGTAACCATCAACTATTCGTAGCTAGTAAACCTATATATCAATATAGATGGGGAATATTATGTTATAGGAGTATGTCTTTATATTCATGCTGATTACTCTTATTTCGTGTCGCAATAATACAAAGCGTCAGTGGAATTATGAGTTGTATACTATTCCCGCCCATCCATTTTGGGATTTAAAATTATCATTTTAGCTTTACGATCGTCAATGTCAAAAACCCATTCACGGTATACGTTATATCATCTCTACGCGTATAATTGACGTTAAAAATAGACATTATCTCTTAATTGATTTATTAAGTATGTGTAGATTAGGTTGCGAAATTCGGTGATGAACTTGAAATTCTAATTACGTGATTAATTTATACAAAATATATGACTTAACATGGTCCATAAAGCACATATTGTTTTTTCGTTTAAGCTTTATATAAAATACTATATATATGTTGACTGTAATTAGGGATTATTGATTATTCTTCGAACGTACTACTTTAATTTATTTTATTATTATATTTCTAAGAATAAAGTGGCACGAAAATTTCATCCTTTATTTCAATTGTTCTGCTTTATATTATACAACACATGGCAAATAAAGTTATTATGATCTTATTCTGAAATAAAGCAATAACAAATGCGCGTTAATGAGATAATATAATTAGAATAAAAGTTTGTAAAAAGCACATTAACTGAAAATCGAGACCAATACAAAAAATACAAAGAAACTTTAAAACAAACAATTTGTTCCCAAAAAAACTTTTAAACAAACCATATTGCACGACTCATTCAAAATACTAATCACGTGTTAATAACATAACTATCCAACCTGCTTTATTGTAGTCAATGATGGTTGCAAAATTTATTAAACCATACCGATTAAAATTCAGCATCATAAATAAGCTTCGATAGCTAGAGAAAATAAAACTAGTCATAGGAAAATCTTGATTATGTTGCTTAATAAAATAAACATTGATTATATGGTAAAAAAAAGTTTGGTTATCGATATATACAGTAGTTCAGAAGATGAGAGATGGGAGGAGAATTAGGGAAGGACCGACAGGAAGCGACAAAAAGGAAGTGGATGGGCCCTAGTTTAGGGCGTGATTGAAATCTTTAGCTTTTTATAATCTAAAGGACTGTTTCTTTGATTGAATCCTTTCTCTTTCCTGACGTCGACTCCTATCTTCCCAACCCAAACACCCTCTCCTACAGATTACTCTCTCTCAATCTCTCGTGTCGTTTTGTGCTGCTCGGATCACCTTTGCCTGCCGTCTCCAGCCTTAAACGACCAAGCCACGTCTTGTGGTCTACTACCACTAGGTTGAAGCAAACTAGGCTCAACGTAACATTCAGATGTGTGTACATAGAAAAAAATATTACAAGAATCTTAGCCACCGAATTTGTACAGAAAAATAATTTATTGGACCGCTTTGATGTAATGATGATCGCATCTGAAAGAATCACATCCTAGCCACTGATTATGCATTATTAGGCCATTCTATGTGGTCCACTGTACTTTATCGCAACATGCTATCCATGTGATATTGAGCAACCATACATTCGTATCCAGCTCGATCATGAAAAAAGTTTGAACTCGAGATTCAATTATTAAATTTTATTGGGTCAATTGTTAG